TACATATCATATCATATCACACACCAACCCACCAAACAAACACCAATACTACCCATCCATCACATCTTCACCATCCCTATCTACCTCTCTCCCCAAGTATCCACAATCCACAAAAGACCTCCCTCCCTTCCTCCTTACCTACTTACAACAGACGGACAGACAGGAAAGACATGTGTAATGAATTTATAAATTTATAAATGGAGCTTGGAAAATCACATTTGGATGTCTACCTAATTACTTGCATATCAGGTACGTAGGTAGGGAGGCTCGCTCGGTAGAGAGGGAGGGGCGTTTCTTTGCGTCGGTTGAGAAAGATTGGCGCTTCATCTCCGGTGTTTATGCATGTCATAGTATAGTATAGTTTGGTGTGGTATGATGGGATGGATGGGATGAATAGGTGGATGGGTGGTTTCTCTATTTTTGGTTTGTGTTTGAAGGAGAGAGGGGTTTAATGGAGGACTTGGGATGGATGGATTGCATGAGATTGTGTTTGGGATTTCTGTACTGTCTGTTGTTTGTTTTGTTGGTAAGACTCTTCAGAGTCAAGAGTCGGGAGTCAAGACAGGAGAGAAGATGGGTTGCGGAATTGTGAATGGGAGGGTACGGGTAGGTAGGTGGGTAGCTAGGTTATGGAGTACTTCATCCACTCTATATTTATCTCAATAAATGAATAAATGAATGGATGAAGAGTGGAGAACAAAAAGATGGAGGATGTGTTGAGATGAAGATGATCATTTTTTATTTTATAGAGAGAGATAATGTATAATTCAATGTGCATGTGTGAGTGGTGTGGTGTGGTGTGGCTGGGCTTTCTTGGTGATGCTCGAATGAGAATTTAGAATTTGCGGAGTACATATCGTGCTTGGAAGATAGATTAATTGAGGGAAAATTCGCCGATGATGATGATGATGATGATGACTTCACAACGCGTTTTTGATATGATAGAGGAAGTACTAGGTTAGTTAGTAAGAGACTTCAAGGTTCTTCCTGTGGTATCAGTCTGTACGGTGTACAAGTTTGATCCTAACCAGCATCTGGATTCACCGGTACATAAAGAGAGGTATTTGTTTACTCACCGGGGGATCCTAGAGAGGGGGAAGACAGAGTGACCGACAGATAAAATCAAAGGGACCAATAACAATCTGAATATTCGTACACGGAACGGACGACTTACTCAACTCACAGACGAACAGACGGTCAATCCAAAGAAAAACCAACGATACCTCCCTAGAAGCCTAGCAAGTACCTAGGTACCTCTCCAGGATCTGAGCATGCCACGTCAATGCAAAGGCAAACAAAGTTTTCTTGATTGATGATGATGTTTATGCCATTTGTTCAAATTCCGTAGTGTGCATATGGAACCACATCATCCATCCCAAGAATGGCATTTCATCTAGGTTCCCCCTCATTCGTGGGTCCCGCGTTCGTCGAGGCGCGAGCTAGAAGGCTGTCAGATGTTTTCTTTTTGTTCGCTCGCTCACCGTTGGACGGGCTCGACTGGCTAGCTTTTGGTTAAGGTTTGTTATGTTATGCCAGAGAAAATGCGAAAGCGACGCGCAGATGGTTGGTCGATTGATTGGAAAGATGTTAATGCATGTTCAGAATAATGCTAGGAGGAAACAACTTCTTGGGGATTCCTTTTGTTCATCTGATATATCAAGGAAAGACCTGTTTCTCCTCCTCTCTCTCCCCCTTTTCGTTTCTAGAGTGCGCATGCGAATGGAGTACTCCGTAGATAGATGTAATGTGTAATATTGTATCCCGAGGACGATTCATGCAAAGTGTTCGGGGTGGTGAATTTGATAAAAAGTTTATGTGATCCTCTTGTATTGTAATGTAAAGGAAAGGAAAGGAAAGGAAAAAAGTAAACGAAAGTCTTGTTCTTCTGCATTGAGACCTACCTACCTATCTACCTACTTTGCATTTTCAAAGCATCGAGCTCGATATATCTCCGGATCGATCTCCTCCTTCACCCATCCCATCTGATATCCATCGATAACCCGAGGACGAGGACGAGGACGAGGATCTAGATGCTGCAGCGAACGCACACGATTTTTTGATACCAGCCAGCCAGCTAGCCATTGAATTGGATTCCAGCCATACAATAGTGTTCTTACAACTTGCTCGTTTTCTCTACAGGTATGTGATACATTATTTCATTCATTCATTCGTCGATCGTCTTCCCCCTATGGTTCTCGCGTGTTGTGAATATCAAAAAGGATCAAACCATACCATACATGCCATACCATCACAAGCAAACCAGCAACCATCGTTTTCTATTCATGTCTCACGGGTGTCCAAGTCAAGGCCTTGTAGAGGGAGTGCAAGTATGCATCTCTTTCTCACCATCATAATTCCACTTCACAATCCCAAAGCTTGCCTTGCCTCGCCTTACCTTGTTCACGTTTCCCGCTCCGTTCATCAACAGCCCTGGGCTTTTTCACTTTCACTTCTCCTTTTCACCACTTTGAACCTCCCTCCCATGAGTCCCATCCCATCCACCTTCGCTAAATGAACAAAAAGGAAATTACTTTCTAGAGATTGAGAAAGAAGGTTTTGGCTGACCCAGAGAAAGTTGGAATTGGGGAATTAGAAGAACCGTGAGAAGACGAACGGAACACGAGAGGAGAGAAGAGTCTTTGTTATTAATCCCAAGGGTTGATATATCATATCATCGAGGGAAGATTTGTGGTTGTGGTAAGAACGAAAGAAAGAAAGACTTACTACCACTTAGCGACTTAGCGACTTACAATAGCACCGTATAGTGCATTCATTGCATTACAGTACAGTACGAGTACATATACATATATACGGACAGACATACATATACGGAAAAGAAAAGGCAGGAAAGAGAAGGCCGAGAAAAAGAAAGGAATATCGATTGATAAATAATAGTAAGTAATTATCCATATTCATATTTATTTATTTTTTATGTCAAGTTTCGATCTATATACCTACACCGAGAGTTTCCCTATTTCGTGTTCATACACAGACAGTATCTACACCCAAGGTCCAAAGACCCCAATACAGGGAACGTGGGAATTATTAGCACCCACCCACTCAATACCCAACAGTCAATAGACAAGAGATAACAGCCGAGCACCCAGCACCTAGCACCCAGCACCCAGCACCTAGCACCCAGCACCCAGCACCTAGCACCTAGCACCCAGCCCGCACCCAGCACTGAAATCATTGTCATATCTTACTTACAGAGCACTACCTGGGTGCCTTGATATCATCATCTCATCACATCATCATCAACCAACCCAGTGTTACACCTGCGAAACTGCGGGAAATCACTACACACCAGCTTCTTCTGTAAGGAGAAGGAGCATAATCTCTACGCTTCATGCTCTAAAGCTTTATGCTCTAGGTACAAGGTGCTTGATGATCATGTACATAGCATCTGAGATTTCTGAGATTTCTGAGATTTGATCAGATTGATCCAATTGTTCAGATTTGGTCGAGGTCTCTGGATACATCTCTAGGTATATCTCTAGGTATATCTTTTTACCCCTGGGCAAATCCATCGGATCTACTCTGTACAATTCTCTCTCTTGTCTCTATGCACTCTCATCTCTGCATTTCCTCTACCTTATGCCTTGTATTCCCGACCTAGGGATTACCTGATTTTACCTGATTTACCTTATTTACCACCTTATTATTCCTTTTTCCTTAATCGACTTACTCGCTACTTTCGCTCTCTTACCCACAACACTACCACTACCTCACTTACTCACTCTCTCTCGCTCTCTTACCGTTTTACACTCATTCGCTCACCATCTCTCTCTCCCTCTCTCTGTCTCTCTCTCTCTCTCTCTCTCCTTCTCTACCCTCTCTCTCTCCCTATTTAACCTTCTTGTTGTACATTGAAGAGAAAAAGAAAAAAAAACTTACCACATACAATCCAACTTACATACTGTCGTTACGCTAGAAAAGAGAGAAGAACAAGAAGAAGACGCTGAAGAGAAGCCAAAACAATAACAACAATAAATCCTCCATACGGAAAGAAAGAAAAATAAAATAGGATTAATCCTAACGACCAATAAAATATCGCCAAAGAAGATTACCATCCATCACATTTTACATTTTACCATCTCACCTCTTTTTCACCATTTCACCCAATTCGCCCAATTCGCCCAATTCACCTTACCTAGGTACCTGACCTGCCTACCTTTTTGCTTCTTCCCTCTCTCTCCCCCTCTCCCTCTCTCCCTCTCTCCCATCCAGAGGTCAAACAGAAGAAGGGTGCATACACACTTCCGACCTACATCGAGATTCGACCGAAAAACAAAAATTCAAAATCCAAAACAAAAAACTCAATTCGATTCATTGCAATCTCAAATCTCAATTTCAATTTCCAATCTTGGGGGTCTTGCTTTACTTTCTCCCCAGCCACCCACATTTAATTACGCTCTCTACCTACGAATTATAATCAATCGATCAATCAATCAAATCAAATCAAATCAACTTTGGGTTCAATTGATCCGCCAACAACCGCACATACACATACACATACACATACCCTCACACTTATACCCTCACACTTATACACTCACACTCACACCCAAGGGGGAAAAAATAAAAGAGAGGGTCGACACTAACCAAAAGAGCCGTTCCCGCCATAGCCCATATTCCTCGACCGCCTACTTTTTTGTTAGGGAGCTACGATATCTAACATAATAGTCGCCCAAATTCAGCGCCAGCCGCGACACTCTTTTTTAAATTTGGTCGAAACTTTAAAAAAAAATCCAACAATCCTCTGGTTGATAATTGTTATCGCCAGCGTTCCCAATATTCCCCTGTCCAAAAGGTGCAATTAATTTTCCTCGATACTCCCCCCTCCCATGATGTTAGTTGGTGGAAATAGGTGATAGACCGGCGAAAACCTCGCAATCATAATAGCACCTTCTGAATCGTGCCTCAGCAACGGTTGTTGTAATTTCCGCTTGCTAGACACCCAATCTGCGATTGACAACAGTGCGCAAAATTGACAAGATATGTCTTCAGCCGCTTTGCAGACCGCCCCTCATCAACCAACATCAATAGGATCGCAATCTCCAGTGGCAGCACCATCATCCTCGGGGAGACCTTACACTTCGGGCTCACAACAATCTCGAGACCCTTACTACAATCAAACCACCACCAACGCATCTCCCTCCTCTGCAAGAAAACCATCTCGAAGGCCGAGCGGCAATGGCGCATCTACAAACACACCTCCCCAACCCCAGTACACCTCACCTTCGGTAACAACAAATTCAGCTCCAATAAATCCTCGCAGTAATAATCCTTCAAATCAAATATCCCCAACCACCACCACATCCCCTTCGAGCTTTGCTCCAATGGCTCCGGGCGATCATCAACGAGGTGTGCCCCCAATTGTCTCGGAGAGATCTTCGTCAAACAGACCGAGTACAGCAGTAGCGGCTGCGACTTCGGCCACAAATCGTAGCTCGAGTTCGAGACGAGGTGAACATCCGGACGAGCAGCGGGCGAGAGACTCTCCACGTCGGGCACAGTCACAGGAGAACCAGTATCACGAGAGGAGGAATATACAAACCAATGGAACGAGCAATGAGGATGCAACAGCTGCTGCCACGGCGGCAACTCGAGCCAGACGCAGAGCTCAACAATCACCTGAAGCTTTACCGCATAGACCGAGTGGAAGTCGTGAACAGAGAGCTGGTCCACCTTCTAATGCACAAAATCGATCACATCCAGCGGGTACCAATTCACCTGCTGGACTGTCCCACGAAGCAAGCGAGGTGTTGAATCGTGTGGTTGTTAGCGATCCCAAGGTGGATTTGGAGCGAGAGAGGGAACGAATGGCGGAGGCTGTACCGAATGCCGTTGCAGCTCCTCCAGTGGTTGAAGAAGCTCCTCGGCAGCAGAGATCCCGTCATGATCACTCAGCCAACTCTGGGAAACGTGAAAAGAACACTAAATTCGGTGAGTACTATCTGGGTAACACCCTTGGAGAGGGAGAATTTGGTAAGGTGAAAATGGGCTGGAAGCAAGCAGGTGGTACTCAAGTAAGTCTTCACTGAATGTTGATTTGATTCTATGCTAATCTTATTCCCCTAGGTCGCTATCAAACTCATCCGCCGCGATAGTGTGGGAACGAACCCTACGAGACTCGCAAAGATCTACAGAGAAATCGCTATTCTTCGAGAGATATCCCATCCCAATATCGTTCAATTACATGAGATGGTGGAGACGGAAAAGCAAATTGGTATTATTCTGGAGTATGCTTCAGGGGGAGAACTCTTTGACTACATTCTCAACCATCGATACCTCAAGGATAACGCTGCTCGCCGCCTGTTTGCTCAATTGGTTTCTGGTGTTGGATATTTACACAAGAAGGGAATTGTTCACCGAGATTTGAAGCTGGAGAACCTTCTGCTGGATCGCAACCGCAACATTATCATTACGGATTTTGGTTTCGCAAACACCTTTAACCCAGACGATGAGCTTGGAGACGAAATCGAGTACAACTTAGCTAGTCGTGACTATGTCAAGCGGATGGAGTTGGATAAGATTTTACCTGGCGGCTCGCGGAGAGGAGATCTGATGCAGACAAGTTGTGGCAGTCCGTGCTATGCAGCTCCAGAATTGGTTGTGAGTGATTCGCTATACACCGGCCGCAAGGTCGATGTATGGAGTTGCGGAGTAATATTAGTAAGTCTTGATTTTTGCACCTGTTGATAGTTGCACCACTAACATGAATTCAGTATGCAATGCTTGCAGGATATCTACCTTTCGATGACGATCCAGCCAATCCTGAGGGCGACAACATTAACCTTCTCTACAAATATATAGTTTCGACACCACTTACCTTTCCAGAATATGTTACACCGCATGCTCGAGACCTTCTCCGACGTATTCTCGTTCCAGACCCACGCAAACGTGCAGATCTATTTGAAGTGGCTCGACACAGCTGGCTGAGCGAATATGCGCACGTCGTTGGCTTCATTACGAGCAGCACGACTACTACTGTGGAGATTGCCAATACTACTGTGCCATCTGATGAACCTCAAGAAGCTCCTCTACTTGCTAGAAGTGCTTCAGTTCGGGAACCCAAATCGCAAAAGGCACCCGCAGCCGTTGGGGATCTCAGTAGGAAACATGGGCATGTGGATCAAGATGGAGAAGAGGCACCTCCCAAAACCTCAAAGGACAACAAGAGACGAACTGTACAGGTCGAATATGTGGCTCCAAGATCACAAACACAAAGAGGCGAGCCTTCTACCAACTCGTCCAGTGCTCAATCTGGTTCGAGAACACGCGCTCGTGCTGGCAGCCAAGGCCCAGTCGAGATTTCTGGAGCTCAAGGTTCTAGAAGAAATGTCCCTGCAGGAGATAAGTCATTGCCTCAGGATCCTTCAATGACAAGAGAAGCCCAACATGCAGCCTCGGCAAGACGAACGGGAAGCTCACAGCGACAACAAGGTATGGTTCCACCTCCTCGACCTACTCGGGATCACCGCGCAGCTTCAGACATTAACTATACGACCCCAGTGACTGGCCAACCATCAATCGCAAGACCAACTACCGGTGGTTCCATGACTTCTAATAGATCTGGATCTATGGGCTTTCCAACCCGTGGATCTTACAGCCAACCTGTGGCACCAACCGTCGCTGGAACTAATGCTCATGGCCGTATGTCTCAACCTCAACCAAAGAGCTCGAATAGTTACAATATATCCCCCCCTATGATTCAAGGCGAACAAACCTTTGAATACCCTCCTCAATCAACTTCTCAACCTATAGCTCCAAAATTCGCTAGAGTCGCAGGACTTCCAGCAGGAACTGCAAATGTCCCATCTGAGGGTAGCAAGACGCACAAGAGATCAAACACGATCGGTGGCATATTTAGCAGAACAAATTCGCTTTTTGGTGGTAAATCACACGCAGAGAAATCTTCAGAAAAACCAAAGAAGTCGTATCCTCCAGTCAGCATGTCAAATGCCAATATCATAAATACCGATGACTCGAGACAGTCGATAGACTCTAGACGCTCCATATCATTTGGATTTGGCAAAAAGAGAAGTGGAAGTATAGCTGGGCGATCCACGACAGGTTCTCAGGAAAAAGCTTCAAGAAGATTTTCTCTCCTCCCGGCATCATTCTCTTTGAAATCTATCGGTATCGGTAAAGACCCAAACACCCCACCTGCTAGCACTCCAACCGATGGTCACTATGAGCCATATCCCGAAATGCAAGGTAATCATCTTGACGCCTCGCCGGATAACAGAAATGTTAGTGGAAGTACAGCTGAATATCAGCATGCGGATGCAGCATATGATCAAAACCGCGCTAGCCCAGCACAACAAGAAAGACAACGTTTTGCTCAACCACAACAGCAGAATCCAGATTCTAGGATGGGTGGCCCACCACAATTCTTACCGCCTGCAAACTTCCGCCCAGATGAATCGGCATTGACGACTGATTCTGAATCTTCATTTGGTCAAAGTCGACGTGGTCCATATCAGAATGACAACAATAACTCATATGAAGACTCGCGACGACCAGCAGGACGCAATAATGGTAGAGGTGTACTACAGAAGAATAACCGCAAGTTTGCCGATGCTTACGATCAAGAGCATGCACACAATGATCATGGTGGTAGTAGTGGTGCAGCTAGAAAGGTAATGGACTTTTTCCGAAGACGTGGAAAGGCTCGTGGAGAGTGAAAGTCGTTTGGAGATAATATTTTTCTTTAAATGATATCACTTCGACATATACACGATAAAAACTTTGTTCAATTCTGGATTTATGCATAAGCTTTCAGCGAAAGCACCGGGAACTTGCGATTCAGCTTTTGGTCTGATTGACAGCAAGCTTTGCTTTCATTTCTCTAGAACGGCTTGGCGGGCCTGCTGGATTTTGGTGCGGGAGGTTGGAGGTGGAGTGTGGGCAGGCGTTCTCTTGCATTTCGTCATATGGTTCGCTTGTTATATCTTCTCGCGCTCAACTCGATTTCAACCTGGACCTGGACCTGAACTTGTGGATCGCGAGTCTCATCATTGATGGACGAGATATTTGACTCGCTTTTATTTTTGCTTTCGCTGTGGATAAGATTATATCTTGGGGTTATGGGAGTTGAATTGAGTAGCATTTGTGTTGTCTGATTGTGAAGAGTAGTCGAATAGTTTATTTTTCTCTTACCTTTAGCTTTTTAAAGTTGTTGTTTCGCTTTTTTTTTACCTTCTCTTCTCTATTAATTTGGTGGTGTGGGGAATGAGATGAGAAAGGGGAGAGGGCTATCTTATTGGGTGGTGTGCTAGTGGGTAGTGGAGTCTCGAATAATGGGTTCCTTTTGAGAGAAGAAAATACGCGTGTGCTTGATTCATGAATGGAGATTACTGCTAGATTTGGCGGGTCTACAATATTGAAGGTGGAATGAGAAATAGAGCATGCGTGTGGAAGGGGGGTGGATTTTGAGACTTGAGACTTGAGAAGCGAGACTTTGTGATGGAAGAAAGGGGAGGGGAGTAGAGAAGAGAATTGAGAGAAAAGCGAAGTGAGAGAAAGGGGGGAAGATGACGATGGATTGGGGGACATGAACCCTGGGTAAATCATTTGTAATAATTGAGAGTGAAAACAGAAACAGCATCTTTTGAAAGAAGACTTGGGGTTTTTGAGGGTGTGAATGTGATGTGATGTGATGTGATGTGATATGTGACTTGTAACTTGATCGAATGGTTCAAGGGTTGAGAATTTAAAGCTATGATAACCATATTTTAGAATCCGAAATTTAAAGTTAATAGAATTCAATCAATTTGAATTTAAATTCCTTTAGTAGGAGTAGATGGTTTTGGGTTTTTGATATATCATCTTCAAGTATCTAATCCTGGGAACCCGGTGAGCTCGGACCAGTCCTATCATTAGCATTCCAGACGTCATTGAAACCCCGTACCTTCCTCATGTGAACCCGCCACTACCACAATGTAACCTAGCTAGAAACCCTTTTTCTAACTCCAACTCTAAACCACTTCTTCTCATAAACCTGCATGCTAATAATCTTTCAATACAGTGAAAATGGATCAACCCATAAATTTAATTTCCGCGCTACTTCAAACCACTCTCAACGAGTCGATCCGCGATACTCTCAATACTTCTCGGCCCCTCATCACTCATCTCAATGCAGACACTACATGGCTTCTTTCGATACCCTACCCTGAAACGGCTGAAAACTCGTGCAACAAAGCATATTATCATATATTAATGGATCCATGGTTACGCGGTGGTCAAAGTGACGTTGCCGCCTTCTTCAGTCAACAATGGCATGCCAACCCCAGCGCAGTGCAAAGTATCGCAGAGATTGAGGATTTCATCGAGAGTGTTGAGAAAGTTGCGCATAAAAAAGAAGATGTGGGCAATGGAAGCTGGATTGATGCAGTAGTAGTGAGCCATGAATTCACAGACCACATGCACAAGGAAACTTTACTCGAAATTCCAAATACAATTCCGGTATTTGCGACTTCGAAAGCTGTTGCAGCGATAACGTCGTGGGCACATTTTGACCACGTGGAAGAAATACTTAGGTTTGATGGTGATTGGAAAGAATCTTCTGCAGTGTATCTACCAGATTGGGTGGGTATATCGAGAGTTGCGAAAGCGGGTGTGGATTTACTCTATTACCATTCTGCTATCATGATTACATTCTCGACGTTCTCGGAGAGGAATACTTTAGATGAACTTTCGAACGATAATATACCTGAAGCTGTGATATATACACCTCATGGAATCGACCCTGGAGATCTTACACTGGTGGGAAAAGCTCATCCATCTATTCGAACCCTCGCGTTACTACATGGATTGCAGGACATTTCGTTACCTCGAGCACAATTGAATAAAGGGGCACACAATGGATTGAAGGTTCAAAGGTTGTTGAATGCGAAGTACTGGGTTGGTACGCATGATGAGGTCAAGGTGGGTGGAGGAATCGTGAGCTGGTTTCTGAATCGTAAAGCTGTGACGCTGAAGGAAGCGTTGGAGAGAGAAGCCGAGGAGAATGGCGAGAGTGGTGATGTAGAAAAGGTAGGGGATATTAAATTTTTGGAAGTGGGAAATGGCGAGAGTTTAATTTTGGTATAATGGCTTTTCATTCCATTCCAAGCGGTCTTTGCAAATGCTAGTATATTTTCAAGCTTGCAATTTTTACAGCCGAGATCTTTTGGGTGCTATCATTCTTTAAAAGAACTTGTAGTCATTGGCCGAATTCGTCTTTGGTCCTTGTTGTGGTATATTTATCGCAACCATTGGTTGTATGCTTTCTTTGTTTCTTTGTGCGACTTGGAATGACAGTCGTCAATTCTCTCTCTGCAGCGACAGCAAATGTTATCACAGCATGCATCCGATTATATTCATCGGCAACGCAACTAAGCTAGATTGAAAAGTTCTCACGAAAAGTTCTTGCCCTACTATTGAACATGCCTCCTCCTCCATGTTGGCGACCGCAAATACCTCGTACTGAGCTTGCGAACATATACGGCCATCTCCGTAGGCCAGTACTTCAAGGTGTTATACCATTGAAGAGCGGCCTCACACCAGTAACTTTGAAACCGCATTCTACCGATCATGAGAGAAAATTCGCGGATGATGTGCGCTGGCTACAGAGACTTTGCTACGGAAGTGTGTAATTCTCACTTTAAATTACAGATCTTTGCTTGCTAATATGTTCTACCCCCAGATTTTACCGCTGCAGAGTTGGAGAGGTTAGATGCCTTGGCACCACTTTACCACATCTACGAAGACGAAACTGCGATTAACCCAAATGCTGACATTACCATCCATCCTGTAATGCAAAGAAAAAAGTGGGATTACCCGATGCCCAAACAGTTAGCTGACTTTCCTTTGGGAGGAGACTTGGATGGGTACTGGAATGCTGTAAGTGAAAGGCTTTCTGTGGCGGGTGCAATTGACGGTTCTGATGACCATGGCAGTGTACAGACGACACTGTGTGGGAAGCCATACTTCCATCGATTCGAATAGCAAGCTTGTATATCTCGCATGCGGATTTGTGGCCATGGTAAGTATACCCTCAGTTCTATGTAGTTCACGATTAAGTTTGCCTGTATAGGTTTGATGGTCTGCTTGCCGCCGAGTGGACTGGAATTCCACAGGCGGAGGTCCCCTTTACACTATTTAGTCCACTTGGAGGCTGGAAACGATTCAGTACTAGAGACCCTCTGGTATATGGAACTGAAAGCGGTAAAAGAAACGTCCGAAACGAAATATTGAAGCATTCTAAGAATATATATTTCCGTCTAATAAGCTCTTTTACCGATCCAGCAAACGGTGTTCTAGCAGTAGATCACAAAATGGGAAGTATTGCTGGACAAACTTTAACCAGTAAAATAAACAATGATTCGGTTGTGACCATTAGTTTCCATCCCCTCGCGGCTTTGCTTCCTGGAAGTGTGGAAAAATTGAACACTGCAGAAAGACGTTTGGTCCAAGGAGAAGTTGCCAAGACTATCATACATGAGCTTGGTGTAAGCTATTTTTTCAAGGCCTCGATTTGGAAGTCCTTCGTCTTGCTCTAACTTGGTATAGCACGCCCTCTTTCAGCAAACATACAAAGCCTATTTGCCCAACCATAATGGCAGTGAGATCTACTTTCATCAGGAAGTAATTTCGGAAATGTAAGTAAACCATTACCTACTTTGAGCGTTTACTAATTATTCTAGGGGGATATCGGTGAGTCTTTGCTGAGTGCTGGTGGCTATAGAATACTGATGTGTTATCCTTCGCTTCTAGATGGAGCAGAGTGTAGGTGGATTCCTATCCGGGGGGATTATCAGCAAATATTAATTTCGATTCAGGTATTTGGCGGGACTACTCGGGCTCTTCGTGAGCCACTAGAGGATTCGCTGCTCGATTTGGGTAAGCATATTTAATCTCCTCATGCAATCCTATATCCTAGTCTGTATGGCCCTTGGCAGAAAAGTATATTTCAATGGACATCATCATCTCACGCTAACTCATCATTAAGAGGGGGGAAATGTGTTTAGGTAAGCAACAGCTACTAACAATAACCATCCACTTTGTCTTACGCAGAGCAGTGATATAAACAACGCCGGCACTCAAGGTAATGAAGGGAACCCAGTCCTATTCAGAAAGCCACCGGTGATTATCCCATCTCTTCGAGCTGTTTCTTCCCGCATTCAATGCACCACAATGAATTTTGGCAGTGCTGATTTAGCATCGAATCATATAGGACTTCTACAGAGCTACATATTGGCCTATTTCTGTTTCCTGGTATAGTAAGCACTACACCGCTCTTTATTCATCGCTATACAATGAAATACATATTTTGGGATTGGTCTTTTTCTCGAATTTTTATGGCTCAGTCCCATGAACCGTTTGATAAATCGTCGACATGTTGACACATTTTAGTGGATATGGGAAGCAAAAGCAGATTCGAATCCTTTGTTAGGAAGTGAGTCCAATTTACTTTTCCTCCAAAGTTGCTACTATGAGCGAAAAACTGAGATCAACAGTTATGGAACACAGACTGTGAAATATAAAAAGGTTACAGGTCAAGAATTTGATCTCAAGAAAGACGGTAGGAGATTCGCTATTTCAAGGGAGCCATTTACCGAGTTTGAGGGTATACCAACCAATAATCAACATACCGGGCTAAGGTCGGACAGATTGGATACTTTAGAGCCCCCTCGCAAACGACGGAGGGTTTCAATCGCCCCAGCCGCCGTTGTGCGAAGGGCTCGTAGTTTCCGAGGGCCAAGGCCCAACCAGGAAATAAAACCACAAATTGACACGCTTTCTGAGTTCAAAGCTCGAGATTTACCGCCATGTCCTCGGTTCGATGAGATTAGCGCGTATTTAATCGACAATCGTCGACAGTTGGCCCTGCACACAATGTGTTTCGCCATGCCTGAGCACACCTTGGTAAGAATGGCCTTCAGTCTTGGGCCGTTGATCACAATTTTGACGGTGGCGTAAAGCTAATTTTTGCGCAGCGTGATTACGTTTTGCGACTTGGTGGGCTGAAAATTAGTGCCCAAGAATGGCGTGCGTATCTTCTTCATTGCGAAGCCGTCCCATATCTCTTCAGGTAATTTACATTACTTCCAAATCAGTCGTAGATGCTAATGGTGTGTAAGGTTCCAGCCGCATGGAAGAATTCGTGACACCTCGACTTATCGTGGCTCTATCCAACTCCATGCTTCAAGCTGGCCAAAGACGGATCTTCCACCCTTCAAGTTAATAAGTCCAGGGGATGAACCTTTTATGAGGAAACTCGTCAAAGGTTTGAAACTTTGTATCGCGATTGACATGCTCTCCAAAAAATACGCCGAATTTTTAGATCAGATGTGGCTACATTCTATCTTCTGGGACGTCGACATTGACAAATTCCTTGCCGTGTTCAACGCCGATTTCAAACAGGGTGATGGAATAGCGAGCAAGATTGGACTAGGTTTGATGTCCAAAGAAGAACTTGAAGATTTAGTGCAGGTTGTGGCATCTACTCGATCATTACTTACGTGAGTAACAATGTAATTTACGAGATCTGAAACTGACCAGTGTTCATCTTAGTTGGGCTCCAACGGGTATCATCCGACGCTTACCACTAACTACTACGGAATTGAAAGAAGTCACCAGTGGAGACACAAGCATAAGAGACATTATTCTGCCCAAAGGTCGATCACTGATTGATTGGGATGCGGGATATGAAGCTTTGTGTGAGGTGAGTCAAACGTCTTTTGAACTCCCCTAGCCTCGCTCAGAATACATTCTCGACTGCTTGAGTTCCCCAATTACTTGGATGCTTTTTTGGAAGCCACAAAATACATTGAGATTCGATGGCTGATTATCCCAATTTTCAAATAGTGGGACAACGTGGAGATGGAAACTGATCTGGAAACGCTGGCCGACGCGGACACGGGCATCACGTATGCTGACGGGCGACACGAAAGCGAAAATGAATACGCGGCGCGCACAGAACCACCGCCAGTCAAGACGCAAGCGCAGTTGGAAGAAGAAGAGTTTGAGCATCAAATTCATGCGCTGGACGGATCGATTGTGGCGTATCGCGCGGCGCATCCGGATGCCGCTGACGAGGAAATTTTTGAAAAGTCGTTTTGGGAGATGTGGAAGGGGTTTCATCCTGAGGGCACCCGAGAGGACGCGCAGGATGAATTCGACGAGTGTCTGGTGCATCTCAAATCGATCGAAGATGGTGGTGCAGAGGGATCTTCGGAAATAAATGTGGATGATATAATGGATGCAATGGCGGAAAATGGACAGTGTCTTAACATGTGAGGTTGGCTGAGCTGGGAGGTATGAAGGAGGAGAATAGGAGATGATGGTGAGATGTTCACCATATGCATTTCACGAGTTGATTTATCGTTATCGTACTTGAGAATATGAGACAACATGATGGGTGGGATATGATGGCATCACGTGTATGTACTCTCCAGATTATATAGGCTTGTGTAAACTTGACATCCCTCACCGGGAAGTTCAGCATGGTCGAAAATGTTCTCTCGCCCAGAGTGAGTTGTCGAGTAATCGAGTATTGTATCTTGAGAAAATACACGCGGAACATTCATTCATCCATCCTAAATCTAATACATATAACATAACATAACATAATATAATATCCAAACCTCAAATATCGAAAGAAAATTATTAATCATGAATCATTACTAGATGAAATTTTGATTCTTATTTTCTTATTTTCTAAATTCTAAATTCTAAATTCCATCTCCATCTATCAATCCTATTATACCCAGCAATTGAAATCTTATATATAATACATTAAAATTCATATTAGAGATTATATTACAGATTACAGATTACAGAGCACAGATTACAGAATATAGAGTACAGATTACAGAGTACAGATTACAGAGCACAGAGTACAGATTACAGAGTACAGAATATAGAGCACAGAATATAGAGTACAGATTACAGATTACAGATTACAGATTACAGAGCACAGAATATAGAGTACAGAGTACAGATTACAGATTACAGAGCACAGAATATAGAGTATAAAGATACTAGGTACATACTATACATACTAGACATATAAGAAGCGAACTGAAGCGAATAGAATAGACATACATTACATTGTATTGCATCATAACATAGCTAGCTAGCTAATTAAAATTTCAATAGAGAATGAAATACAGAGAGAGAATTCCAAGTTAATTGTTCTTCGACTTTTTGACTTTGACTGCTCTACTAGAGGAGTAGGAGTAGTTTAGTCGAGAAGAAAGGAATGAAGAAGAAGTAAGAAGAAAGAAGTCAAGAGAAAGAAAGAAAGAAAGAAAGCACTCTCAAGCGAAAACTTCATTCATAAATCCATCAATCAATCAATCAATCACCAAACCAGCTCAAGAAGCGAAAGAAAATAATCATTCGATCAATCATTACCCCACCACCATCCATCATCCATCATAACATCTCAATCATAATATGAATTCACCCCCATCATGATAAAAAAAACCTTCTCATCTCATCCCACCATAAAATCATCATCCATTCCCTTGACTTTCGTCTCCAAACATAATCATCAAGATTAAATTCCCACAATACTCCTAACCAACATCTTTGCCGCATCAGAATTTCCGCCCAAATTACTCTGATCATCTTCTGCTGGATAGAAGAAAGCTGCAACGGCGATAATCACATAAGCAGCGCAAAGAAGTGCACCTTCGAGGTAATTGGATCGACCATCTAGAACCAAGAAATTGACAATAAAGGCCGAGACGAAGAGACAGACGGTTTCAAAGAGCGTAAAGTACAATGTCATTTCTTTAGACATACACCAGCCGAGAAGAACGATAAAGGGAGTGACGAAGAGAGCTATCGTGATGAGTTAGTTGAAATTGTATTAAACATTGTAATTGAAAAACATACCGATTTGAATCGAAGAACCAACGGCTACACCGATTGCCAAATCCATTTTATTCTTACTAGCTACCGTAACAGCTGTGACGTGCTCGGCCGCATTACCAACAATAGGTAAGATGATGAGACCGATAAAAGCCTCACTCAAACCAGAATTACCTTCAACGACAGCATTAATACTGTCAACCATGAATTCGGCACAACATGCTACAAGACCAGTAGAAAGAAGAAGTAAAACGACGGCTGTAGTGCGAGAGATGTTTTCGTCCTCATCATCCATAGGAACTTTGTTGACTGCAACAGCTGTGCTGTTAATGCGAATAGGTGCAAGATTTGATGGGGTGGGATTAGCTGGGTTTGATACGGTTTGATTGAGACGATCAGGTAAAGAATTCGTACGACGAATTCCCATACGAACGCGAGGGATATTTCCAGGGGGTGGAGTACCGGTGGGTGCAGGGTTGGTAAAGACATTTTGAGAGAATGTTTTCGGAATTTGAGGTCGAATGCCAGAGGTTATGCCGCGAAGAGTGAATGGTCGTTTTTGAGCGTTATCTTGTTGATTTTCAGGATTTTCCATAATGGCAAAATCCACACGTCGTGGATCGAAATCATTTGGTACCGCTTCAGCAGATTTCTCATTGATAACTTCAGGCACAACACCTTCTTTGATGGTTTCTTGATGTCTGAGAGCTCTCTTGCGAGCTTTGTGTTCCTTTTTCTGTTGCTTGCGTTCTCTCTTATGTTCCTTTTTGGTCATAACATAATTTGTGAATGACCCAGTGCGACTTCTTCTAGGACGTTCATCATCACCATCCTCTGCAAAGTCAATAGCGCCTGTACGATGATCATCGCCAGCAGACCCACTACCTTCGGCTGCATGATTGAGACTGCTATTACCAAAAGATGGTGTACGAAGAGCCTCAACTTCAACAGTATCTTTCGATGCTGAGCTTGACTTACGACGTCTACCACCTCTGATGAGTCTTTTTACACGCTTGGCAGTAGTATTGGAGCCGCTGGAGCCATCAGAGTCAGAGCTGGAGGAGGATGAATCATCCGATGATGAGTCCATCCAAGCTGCAACCGGTCCAGGAGCTAATTCCTCATCGATGATATGCTGAGGAGTACTTTCATACATATATGCGTGGGACTTTAATTGAAACAAGAGATACATGGCATAAACCAAAAGGAGAACCTGAAAGAAGTTAGTATAACGAGGTCTCGCAAACACAATGATTGACAACTTACGACACTGGTACCACGACTAACTTGCAAAACTTTGGTGTTAGCCTTATCTGCAGCAGTTGTAGTATTGAAGGATGCGTGGAAAGCAGTCTACATTCGTCAGTTACTAGTTTACGCCAAAGGAAGAAAATTCATACCGGAAGCAATAAACTCATGACGCTCAAACTCAAAAGACAAGCACTCATTTGTGTGACAGTACTATTATAGATCTATAAATATCAGTACTGCTCACAGGTTTTCAACGAAGAATCAATTACCTGTTCACGGAAGCGAAGTCCACCAACCAAGAAACACATTCCTAGAATCAAGAGTAGATTTGCAAGAATCGAACCGAGCAAGGAGGCTTGGACGATACGGATTTCATTCTGTTGAAAGTTAGAATAATTGGCACTGGCAAGGGGGAATTTACTAACCTTTTGCAATGCAATGCTATAGGGTTAAAGATAAACAGGTGAGCATATGTTTTGAACGAATATTTCACAAGGGACTTGCATGAGACAAAAGGAAATGGAAAGGGTATAATGATATGGGACGCGATTGATATGATAATGCCTTTAAGAGGGCTTCTCGCACTTTCTTGTCTTGATCTCTCACGAGGTAGACATACATACTATTGAAATTGTTAGCTTGATCCTGTATTCAAATGGAGGTGTAGAGGGAAACTTACAAAATGATAAGCTCAACAGCATTACCAAAAGTAACATTCATCAAAGCCCCAATAGTATCACCCATCCTCTTAGCCACACTCTCAGTAGCATGACTGAGTAAACCTGCCAAAGGTATAATAGCAATAGCATTCATCGCAAAGATGATACCTGGACTGAGCCCAATCGCATAGGCGATGATACCCACCGGTACAAATACCAATAAAACATTGATAACACTCGAAAGTATAATATGCTTGCCGGTAAGCCAAAATCGAATGGCAACATTTTTCTTCTTAGGTTTCTCGGATTCGCTCGATTCTATGATATTCCCCTCTCCATCAACTTGCGGAGGTGGAGCTGGTGGCGGATGGACGTTGGATGTATTGTCTGCCACATTGTTTCTTGTGGGATTTGAACGTTGGTTCTTGAGGCCATTATGATTTGCATTATTTCTTGGGATATTGGTTGCATTGTTAAGAACGGAGGCCGCAGTGTTGTTGTTATTCTGCGTGTTGGTGGTAGGAGGATTGCTCAAGGGAAGAGTTGGTCCACTCAGATCTGACGAGGTCGTAGGGTTGCCATGTGCCTTGGATGTATCCCAAAAGCTCACACGATCTAGAAATGACGGCGAATTAGACGAAGTTTCCTTCATCGATGTAGAATCAGATGAATAGAATGTGAGGATTGATTTGTTTATCTGTGAAACCAACTTGGGTATGGTTGAGTTGAAGAACAAGACCAAGATGAATTCGCTATCAAATTAGGGAAATGGAGTGAAGAGAGGTGTGGGGTGTGTGTTTTATTTGAAGAGAGAAAAACACGTCAGAGCAAGAACAAAAGATGCTTTGATTGATGATAATTGATATCAAAAGAAGGATGAGGAGGTTTGTTAATATACCCGGGGGTGTAACGTTGTTTATAACAAGAGGGCAATAATGACTGGGAAAGATTGGGGGGGGGAGGGAGGTGGATGGGGAATTGGGATACGGTGAAAGTCACTCCCTCTCCCTGTAAGTTGATAAGGCGAAGATTTCCAGGGATTATTCAAGGTTTGCTGTTTGCCAAGGCTGAACTTTCCAAGTAGTGGATTTGCCAAGTAGCGGAGAAATATCTTGGGAGGAAGGAATATGATTGGATGTAATTCGTGTTTAATTGTATATTCTCTGTTGTCTGATTGGATGAGATGGGAATCGTTGAGGTTTTGCTTGATGTGCGAATTATGGGAATAAATAGATGTGGCGCAGTAATTTGATATTGATGTTGAACCTTGAAGTTGATGTGATGTGATGTGATGTGATGGATTGGATTGGATTGTATGTGCTGTGCCTCATGATAGCTAGCAGTGAAGTACTTCGATTCGCAAAAGTGGGAAGAAAGACTTGCATTATTCACGTGTGTGTTTGGTCAGGATCTCTTCCCATATCACAAATTCAGAATCAATCATATATTTGTATCACTCGATCAATTACTCAATTGAGAATCCCAAATCTTTACTCAACGCCGATTAGT